ATTTGGCCGGTCCATTTCTCTCTTCCTCCCACTTTTCCGGCCAAGTTTCCTCAAGCCGACCTCGCCGTACTGACACTAAGGAATTCTGGTGAAGTGATTAAAAGGAAAAAATAATTTCAGACCAAAGAAGCAGAAAGATCAAGAAAGAAAATAGTGGGTTTTCTGGTAAGAAGAATCACATGTTACAGAGAGAATGATCTTACTAAACCAGTTCTGGGTTTTGTAGATCTTCAGGATCAGAGGTGCAACTCCATTAACTGAGATGAGGAATGTCCGCCATGGCCGAGTGGTGGTGAAGGAGAGAGAAACTGGGAAGCAGAACGAAGGGCCATGACATTTCCATTCACTCCATAGCCAATATCTGAAGAAGTTTGGCTCTAAAGAAAGTTGATCAAAGACTTTGAGGTTGGCATAAGAGAGAGTAAAGCAATAAACTGTGGGTGCATCAATCTCAATCTATATGGAATAGGGGACCCGCCATGGTTGATTGCTCTGTTGACAATTGACATCTCTCTCTCTCTCCAATCTCTATCTATCACAAAGACTTCAGGTAGGTTGGAAAGTAACTAATTCAAAATAGTGCCTCTATCACTACGTAGGCGGGAAACCGAAGACCCATTAACTCTTCTAAACCTGTAAAGCATAGAAGTAATGTAATATGTATGGTTCTAATGCACATACATAGTTTTCTTCAACAACCCACCATCCAAAAACTGTTTCTCAAGCCCACAAAACAATTACTTTCTGCATTGAGAGTAAATAAAGATAGTCTTTGGGGTGAGTTTGAGAGAGGCAGGCTCTATACTATATACATGAACACATGAGAGTTGAGTGGATCATCTCCCATTTCTAAGAATTAAAACCTGCATAATCTCAAATCTTCTAGCATTAAGTGACACGATCTCGACATTATAAGTGGTTTTATTTGATAAAATCATATACTCATATAAAGAGAAGAGATGTTCCCTACAGAACAAGATAGCTCATATGAATTTGAAACGGTCAAAAATGAAATCGACACTCTTTAAAGTCTAGGGCCCGTTATTTGAGAACTCCTGCGGTTCTACTTTTCTACTTTTAGAAGCTCTTGGTATATCTGAGGGAAGATGCATAAAGTAAAGCCAAAGGAAAAATGCAAAGGGAGGAGGCCAGTACCTTTTAATTGAGGCCATTGTGCAAGCTAGCTCCTCCTAACCATAATCATGGCAATTTTCTGCTGCTTTGCGGCGAGTGTTAATTAAGTGAAAAAGAGAGAAAAAGCCAACAAATCCGGCACGTTTCTTCTCCTTCCTACTTAATTTGAGTGGTTTCCGACCCTCCTTTCGTCCAAAAAGTTGAAATTGGATATAGTGAAACAAAGATGAACAGTGAATCCAACAAAGCTGTCTTTACACTTTCTTTCAATTAATTTCATTTCTATGAGTAGAAAAT